ATACAAAAATAATAATTATTATAATATTTTGTTATTATTATTATTATATTACAGTTTATACAACAACAACAACAACAATAATAATAATTCGTTTTTGGTTATAATAATAATAATAAAGATTATTATTATAACTGAAATTGTATCATTATTTTTATTGTTTAATTGTATAAACTGTAATATAAATAATAATAATAATAATTATTATTATTATTATTACTATTATTATTATTATTATAACCGAAAATGTATCATTATTATTATTGTATAATTGTATAAACGGTGATATAATAATAATTATTATGAAAACTATTATTATGATTATTATTATTATTATTATCAAACCGAAAATGTATCATTATTATTATTATTATTATTATTGTATAATTGTATTAACTGTGATATAATAATAATAATAATAATAATAATTATTATTATTATTATTATTGTTATTATAACTGAAAATGTATCATTATTATTATTGTATAATTGTATAAACTGTGATATAATAACAATAATAATAATAGAATAATACATTGATGTCTAAGGAAGTCAATAAATTAATAAAACACATCTTAATGCTACTAATAATAGTTTCCTTTTCTGAATATATTCTGATTTTGGGATGAAATATGACCTGGACATTTCTTAAGGGATTTTTTTAGATTCACTTTTACACCCAAATCCTTTGGGGGCCAAACTGCATACAAAATGCATCATATTCAGAAGAAAATCTTTATTGGGAAACATAAATGTGGTGACTTTTCTAAATGCAGTGAGTGGCCGGACTGCTGACTGTGTGAATATTCACATTTAGACCCAAGCACATTTTTCTAACACAGAGGAGATTTTTCTTCATTCACAGATCTTGCAGAACCAGCAGGCTGGTTATTTTTCCTTCACTAAAAATCCAGAGAGACAAAATTTTACAGTAACTGGCGGTTCAGATGCTTTAGTTGCAGATCAAGTGTATTTTGCACGTCTCAAGTGCACTTGATAAGCTGTGATCGATGACGGTGCTGTGAATATATGAACTGACAGCTTCTACAAGGATTTATTCAAAGCACACTTTTTTGCTTTTCTTTTTCCACATTTAAACTGGAGAAATATTCACACGATGTATCTGTAACTCTTGCACTGCAAAAAAAGCTTTAAATTTTAGCTTTTGTCTTGTTTCTTGTACAAATGACTATACATTCTTAAATCAAGAAGCATTTTGTGGACTAGTAAAAAATATTGTCTTGTTTTCAGAGTCAAAATTAAGTGAGTTTTTCGTCTTAAAACAAGCTAAATAATTAATAATAAATAAGTGAAATTATTATGCTTTCAGTTTGAAATAAGTTTAATTTATTTGCCCCATTGGGAGATTATTTAGCTTGTTTTTTACTAAAAACTCACTTAATTTTGACTTATTATAGCTGAAAACCAAATTTTTTTTTTACATGTCCTAAAATGCTACTTGATTTAAAAAAAATGTTGTTAGTTTAGTCTAAAAACAGGATGAAAACTTATTAAAAGTCATTTTTTGCAGTGAATGTGGATGCAGAAGATGAGCACTAAACACTATGAGCTGAAGCAGAATGATGTTCATCTGTTCAGCACCGGATCTACACACATTCTTTAGGTTAAAAGGAGAACGAAATGCACAAAGGCCTTTATATCTTTTGCAAATAAGCTAACATGATGATTCTTTATTAATAAGATAGACCTATAACTTAATAAATGTCTATAATTTCAATGAAATTCACTTGTATTTCTATGTAGCGCACTATTTTTGTGAATCTCGACTGGACTTCTAATCAATAAAGTTTAAGAAACCGTTTTAATCATTCTGCTTGTGCTCACTAATTTATACTTATATATACACATTATATATATACTTATATAATTTATACACACACATAAATATATATATATATATATATATATATGTATATATATATATACACACATGTATATATATATATATATATATATATATATATATATATATATATATATATATATACATATATATATATATATATATATATATATATATATATATATATATATATATATATATATATATATATATATATATATATATATATATATATATATATATATATATA